ATTTTACATCACTTACTCCTAATTAATAGAGAGGCTTGCCCTGCTGTCCCAGGGGGCTTTCTCCCTCTATCCAGCTTTTGCAGTTTGAAAGCTGAGGAAGCGAGAGCTAAGGGTCACTGCTGCTTCTTGGAGCACAGGACTAGCAGATTGCTGAGATGACAGGCAGCTCATGCTGGGCATTAGTGTAAATGTGGGGAGCTAGTTCACCTCCAGAAGGTGTTTTGGTTTTTTTGTGTGTGTGTGATGAGACAAATGGTGTATTCTGACCTTGGGGAAACCAATAGCAAAGCTTCCTCTGACTTGAGCAGGACCAGGAATTTTCCTTAGATCCTTGATCCCAAGAGTGCTATGAGGGTGAATGAGCAGTTCCTTGAAAGCAAGGAGGAAGCCCCAGTAGAGGACAGTTCCCCTTTTCTCTATGCTGACCAGATGCTGGGGATGGGGTGGGATGTAATCTAGACGCTTGCCAGCTGGGCCTCTCATCCCTGCCTCTTTGCTGGAAACCTCTAGGCTTCTCCGGGCTGCAGCGACTCTCTTACGACTGGGTATCTCCTCGCTCTTCCCCGAGGGCTGCGCAGGAAACATGGCTGCTGTGCTTTGTAGCATGTAACGCCCCAGCGGTCAGTAGAGCTTCGTGCCCCCGTCGGGCTGCTCAGTTGCTTCCTACCAGTAAAAGAGAGCAAGCTGACGAAGGCTGCGTGCTGGCGAGGAGGAGAGCGGTGCAGACAGAAAAACATCCTCTGTGAGAGCGGTGGGCTGCGGAGGGTCAGCATGGCAGTGTGTGGGAAGGGAGGACGTGCATCTGGCCAAGAGGGCAAATGTGAGGGAGAAGCTGAGGGGGGGCAGTGGGAGCTTTGCCCTCTCCCATGTGCTGCCCATCTGGTGTCCGCTGCTGCCTGTGGCTCCAGGTTTCCTGAGTCCACTGGGTTGTGGAGCTGACAGCTGTCTGTCGTTAGCAGCAGTTAGGAAGGGCCATGAAGTATGGGAGGGAGGGTCTCGGCGTGGGGGATGTTTGGCCTGTGGTGGCTGACAGCATGTGCTAAGTGTTAATGTGGTATTCTTCAGAAATGAAGAATAAAAACATTCAGCTGAATAATTTAATGAGGAAAATAAAGCTCAGCTAGTGAGACAGGCACAGGCTCATAAATAATTTGCTCAAGTTCTCCGTGCCGCATGTGTGTTCACACATGTGTGTGTTCTCGTGTGGTCAAGGCACGCGTGTCTGTGCACCTGCCGCTACCTGACACTCGGAATTGAAGGCAGGCACAGTCTGACTGTTGGATGCTGGGCCCAGCTGGGCAGGTACAAATACGGCTTTCTCAGAGTCAGGTGTGTTCTCTGATTGCTGTGCAGCTTGAGATGGTGACTAGGGGCCAGAAGAATTTGTACTTCTAGCATTTGCTGTGCAAGCCAGAAGCATGTCCTCCCTGCTGTCCTGTTACTCTCTTTCTCCCACAAAGTGAAGAGGTACAGCCTGACCATCCTTTCTGAGTGTTGAGTTCCTGTAGGGGACAGAGCTCTTTGTCTCAGACCTGTGTACAAAGCTTAGGACCCCACAGGGACACTTCCCGAGGTTTTGTGACCTACATTGTTGAGTTAAAGCAACTGTGGACTCTCTTTGCATTTGTAGGCTCACACCTCTCTGCTTGAGAGGCCTTTGATGTTTTATTCATCTCTGATGGCAATATGGGACTCAGAAGGAGGAAAGGGGTGGTGTCCTGTTTGTGTAAGCCTCTGGGTGTCCAGTTTTCTGCAAGGAGGACCATGCCTGCCTCTCCCTCAGGAAGCAGCAGGCAGAGAGAATCCTGCGGCTCTTCTCCAAGCCTCAGCATTGGAACAGATTTCTTGTATCTTGTTTTCTCCTCTTTACCCATGTCTTCCAGAGCAGATGAAGGCCAGCCCAGAGACCAGACATCAGTGCGGTGGGTGGCTCTCAAAATCACGAGCTGGCAAGGACTCTGGAAAGGGGCAGTCCCAATCCAAGGTCTCGGTCTGACATTGGCAGAGGATGAGACTGCCTGTGCTCTTCCAAGGTGCTATGTCAAGTAGGCAGGAGAGAAACTGTGGCCACAACTGTGGGGCACAGAGCAGCCCACATGCTTGATCCCACCCTGGACAGCCCTGCTTCCTCGTGTCCCCGCAGCCAGATGCTGCTTCCTGGCTTGCGCAGTGCTAACCCACGTCGTTGTGCTGGCATCGGCACTGGCACCTCTGCTGTGGGTGCTGTCTCACAGGCGCCATGCCATGGCCCTGCCGTGGGTCAGTGACCCTGTGGGGTGCACGTCCCTGTGGCAGGCAGGTCCAGCAGGGCCAACCGTGGCTGACCTTCCCGGGGCGGGCCCTGCAGTGCATCCTTGGCTGCATAGCGGTCCCTGGGATGAGGGGAAGGAAAGGGGTGGACAGATGGGTAGAGGGGGCCCCCTCCCCAGAGATCATATCAAAATGTCTCTTTTGTGCAAAGCAGAGGGAATGCCCCCAAGAGCTGGTTTCCATGGCAACCACAAATGTCAGGTTCCATGTGGTGAATAACGGTTTCCATGACAACACCTCCTTTACCCTAGGTGCTGGGAGCTGGAGTGACAGCCCCGTTGGGGGAGGGGACAGGGAGATGTCCTCAGGTACTTAGGCCCCCTCCCCCCGCCACCTCCCCCCATCATTTCCTACTCTTTGCCTCAGCTCTCAGCCCCAGGATCGCGGGTGGGGCCATGCTCACATAGCGGTGGGATGCTCTTGGCTTCCATGGCATCCCTTCCTCCCTCCCTTCCCCTAAATGGCTTTGCTCCTCAGAACAGCTGAGATCGGAGTCTGTCCCTCTGTCTCCCTCCCTGTTTAGCTTAATCGTGGTTTTGCACCCTGGGTAGAAACAAAGCTATTTCTCTGTGCTGTGGGAGCAGTGGGGAGGGAGGTGGCCAGCTGCCCCTCTTGGCTCCGCACCGAGCCCTCTCTGCCGAGCGCACATCTGGGCTGCCTGCCCTCTGCCCACCAGCCTGCTGCTGAAACACCCCCAGCCTTGGCTCGCGTGGGCACATCGCCAGAGGCTGCGAGCAGCAATAGGAGCCACTGCTCTCAGCGAGGAAATCTGAGGCTTTCTGCAGTAATGTCTGACCACATCGTTCCAGACCCCTGCCCCACATCCCACTCAGCTCAAGGGCTGAAAGAGATGCTTGGTCCTTGGCAGCTCCTGGGGAGCAGCAGCCCAGAGGGTGACGAGTGCCAGTGCTGCATATGCTGGGGACACGTGGCAGCACAGTGGGATGTTAGGAGCTCTGCAAATCCGTGCAGCTGATCAAGAGTGGGAAAGGGACTCTCAGCCTTTCCCTCTGCCCTAAATGACACAGCAAGTCCTGGGAGATGGAGTTGGGGTTGGCACTGCTGCCTACCGAGGTGCAGCAAGGCAGCAGCTTGGCGTTCCTTTGGGGAGCTGCCAGCCAGTCTCTGGCTCTGCCGAGCAGCTCCTTGAGGCAGGGATGGTATTGCTTGGGGCTGGTCCCAGCTTCTGCTCATCCTGCCTTAGATCCACCAGTCAGTGGAAGCCAGCTTGCAGCCCCCAGCTGCCACAAGCACTCTCCCATGCCCAGTGGTCAGGTGTGCCATGCCACAGCAGTCTGTCACCTTCTGTTGGCATCTCTGTCCTGCAGTCTGCAAAGCTACTTCATGGATTTCCTCTAGCTGTTGTGAATGTGGGCTCTACCTCTGGTTTCTGGCCAGTCTGGCTCAGCCACCACTTGGAGACAGACAGCAGTCCACGTTTTGTATGCTGGCTTCGAAACACATTTCAGTTGGTGACTTTTATGACTTGATTTAATTTTCTGTTTTGTTGTTACTGTTTTTCCTGAGTGTGTTTCCTAAGAGAGGGGGCAGACTATGCCTGGACCTGCAACTTGTGTGCAGGTCTTCCCTGCGATATTGTGGTTGTTTTTTATTATGAATGTCACTGATTCAAGCTGCTGTCAGCCTCCGTGAATGATGCTGAGAGGCATGGAGTGAGATGTGCTGTAAATGTGGAAGTCTGCCTTGTACACTGTTCCTCAGAGGAGATTCTGGCCTGGCTCAGTTGGATCCTGCTAGCCTGGGAAGGAGCCTACAGTTGCCTTTCTGGGCAGCATAGGATGTGCATACCTTTCAGCAGACAAGAGTTTTGCACTGCTTTGCAAATCAGTTAAATCTGTGGGTTAACTAATGCAGCTACTCCTGGGTAGGAAGTGTTCTTCTGTCTTACCTAGAGAGTCCCCATATCACTGACCCAAGCTACCCCTCAGGCTTGTTGCTTGTGGTTGGATTATTGCTGAAGACACTAACGAGTGCAAGAGAGGTAAACAACTCTTCCCCACAACCAAGCGAGAGGAGTTTTGTCCCTTTCAAGCTGAGCATTCCCTTTGTGAACAGGAGATGTTGCTGGAGAGCAGCACTGCCCTTTTGTAGAGCCCCTGCGGTGGCAGAGCCCTGACTGCGTGAGGACTGGGGAAGGGGAAACGTGACATGCCAGCTTGCTCTACTGCTGCCAGCCAAGTTCAGAGGCAGTCTTTCCTCCCTCCTGCAAGGACAGTAAGTGGCTCAGTTAGGTGAGGTGACCATGCCTGTGCTGAGTCAGGGCGAGTGTAGGAGGAACTTCCAGGCATAGTCACACCTTAGGCCACCCTGATCACTGTTCAGGCTCCAGTCTCATGGTGATGAGCTCCTTACTTGGAGCCCTTTCTTTGCCACTTGCTGTGCCTGAGGAGGTGGAGGTTTATGCATGGTGGGCATTTCCAGGAGAGCTGTGTGCTGTAGGCAAGCTAGCTGAGCAGGCAAAAGTGCCAGGTTTCTTTTTGACAAGTCTGAAATCCATGTGGTCCCTTCTCCAAGGGTTCTGATTGCCATCATGATGTCTTGGTTCCCTTCTGCCACTGTGCTACTCTGCAGAGTGGGCAGAAAGAGGCACCCTGGTGCCACTGCCATCAGCACCGTGTGCCAGGCAGATAGGCCAAGCTCTAACCCTCTGCATTTCTCTTTCATTGCAGATGGCGCGCCCGATTCAAGTGAAACCCGCAGACAGCGAGAGCCGTGGAGGTAGTTGTCATCTCTCCTTGTTTCTCCTTTGGTGGCTTTGTGCTGGTGAGAGGTACCAAGCAAAGAGATAGGATCCTGACCTGGCCTTCCTCTCCCTGCAGTCTGTGTGAAGGGACGTTTGTGTGTGGCAGGAATGTGGCGGGGCAGGAGGAGAGTCTAGGGATAGACTTTGATGGGGAACCTTCAGCTTGGCACAGCAGGCAGCTGAGAGCACCCCAAGTCCTAAGGGTAATAATGTTGCTGCCCACTCCACTCTCTTCCCCAGTCTTTTGAGGGTGCTATTAGGCTGACAGTGTCTGCCCTAGGAGGTAACTAAAACAGTCATGCACTTTGGTGTATGGCACCAGGGGTCCTCGAGGGTGTAAGCAGTTGGGAGGAGGTTTCTTCAGTCTTATACCTGATCAGCCCAATAAAAGCCAAATCCCTGCAGCAGCACTGGCTCTTTAACCTGTTCAACTCACTGCTCTGCAGCTGATTGTCCTGTCAGCAGCTCACTCCTCTGACACCCCCATGACTGTTGGACTATCTCAGCCTCTCCACTCTCAGTCCTGCAGCAGCCTCCATCACACTGTCAGGGCCCAAGTGCTGTTGTGGAAAATAGCATGGGATGGGGAAATAGTGTCTGAAGCAAAAGGATCGTGAGTTTAGGCTTGAGATGGAGGTGCTGTCAGCCTGCAGGGGACCAGCTTGGTTAGAGCAGCATACGCTGAGTATTCAGAGCTGGAAAACTGAGAACAGGAGAACTCTGTTAATTTAAAAGGGAGCTCACAGCAGCTCAGATGCCTCCTCCAGGTGAAGAAGGTTTGCAACTCCAGCCCTTACCAAATTTATGAACTCATTTTGCTGCTTTCCTTGTCTTACTGATTGATACATTTCTTTTCCTCTTCTCTCCGTTCCTGCATCTGCCTCTCCATGCCTTGTGCTGCCTCTGAAAGCAGTTTAGTAGTGGGAAGGGGAGAATTTGGAAGGCTTTTGTTCTAAATTTGAAGGGGTCACTTCCAAGCAGTTTGTAGTGACTTTCACTTATTGCACTGGCAGGAACATGAGATATAGTTCACGATGTTTTATATGACTGTATGTATTTATGGTTGTGTGATCCTCCTTTTAAAAAACCAAAGTTTATCTGTTTAAGTCAGATCATTTTTCCTAATAAAATCTGTGACTTTTCAGTATTTAGTCGAAGAGTAAGGCACCTGACTTTTACTGAAGTCTTGGCATTTTTCTTCTCTTGGGCTGTACTTAGAATCCCAGAGTTGCCACCTATAAACATGCTCCTTTGGAAAAGAACTGTGGCTTAAGCCTCCGAAGAAACAAGTATGCCTAAAACATGTAGGACTGGATTCATCTCATCTTACTTCAGCCCCTGGGTTTAAGGTTGAGTTTAGGGTCCTTGTCCATGGTATAGACAAGTAAAAAGAGACCAGTGTCTTCAGGGTGATTCAATCTCTCACTCTTCACACTGATACTAGGAGCAGATGAGCTGTCTTTTAGAGGTGCCTGCTTTGGTGATAGAGGAAGCTAACTGCTCACTGACACCTCATATTGCCTCTAGATAGAACCATTAGGTGGTCAATCCTTCCCCCACCACATTGATTTTAAAAATTAGCACCCCAGATTTCTAATTAATTCAGAAATTGTGTCATTGTATCTGAGGTTATTCCTGATGAGTCTTTAAAACAAACAAAACAAAAAGCATAGGAGACTAGGAAAGCCTTTGCCAGTTGTACCAATAACTCAACATCACAAAACCATTACACGTATGCACTGGCAGATCCCCTGCGCTCTTAGGCTGTAAGACATGGCTGCACAGCAACTCCCACAGCCAGCACAGAGGCACAGGCAGATGTACCTACAGACAGATGCCCCGTGTGTGCACTTCTTTGCGAATACAGATGTGTCCACCTGACACGCGCATTCGTAGGTAAATGAGGACATTTACCTTCACCAGTACTACGGATGCACAGCTGATGCCCCTGCATTAAGCCTTCACACAACAGCAGTAAGACCAGACCAAACAGATATTTCAGGCTGTGAACAGACCGACCACTGCAGCTTTGTTTTCTTAATAGTTTGTGTCTCTTTGATGAGTGCAGCTCAGGAATCTCTGGTGTCTTAATACTAGGCTGAGGTCATTTCTGCAGTCTTTCTTTTGCTGGTGGGGCAGTACTAGGGACTCTCTTCTATAGGCAGCTACGTAGCATGACAAAATGTGTTGGGACTTAACATCTCTGATGCCTCAGCTCCTCTGTCACATTGAGCTGAAATAGGCCAACAGGTTCAAAACCAGGATGTTGATGTGGAGGCAAGCTTTTGGTCAAGGCTCTGGACTCTGAAATCTCTAAGGTTATGAAAAGTGTGACAATCTCTAATGACTACAAATGTTAGGGCATCAGCTCTACTTCCCATGGAGCAGGTCATAGAGAAAAGCAGCCTTTGGAGTCTGAACACCTGCCTCCCTCCACTCATGTGCCTAGTCTCCTTGCAGCTTCCTTGCAGAGCTCAGAAATGAGTAGCTCCCTCAGGATCCCTGACAAACTGGGATTTTTCCTGAGACAGAAGCAGCATCAAGACAGCACCCTGTGTTTGTCGGAATCGAGTTGCTCTTTCCAAAGGTTTCTGTCGGGTGCTCCACTTGTTAGAGAAGTGGATGGGGCAAGTTTGCAGACATGGAAAGAGCAATAGCCCCACACTGGTAGGAGGTGAAAGAAAGGTTTGGGGTGGGGCAGGGCAGGACTGCTTGGACTAGGAATTTATAAAGGGAATAGCTGCATGCATCAGTGAGGTTCCGCTCTGCCTTATCCTTGAAGGGAACCTCTTGTATTCTCTCTGGGGACTGACATCTCTCAAATTAAGCACCCTGAATTAAGTACATGAAGTCAGAGCACCAGAATTTGTCTCCTGGTCTAAGAGATGCTAGTTTTTGTGCCAAAGGGGCAGTTTTGGCCAAGCCCTGCAGGGCCTATATGAGGATATCTGGATGCTCGGTGTTAACTGCGCCCTGCAGAAGGAATTCACTAGTAAAAAGATGCTGCCTGCATTAGTTCAGAGGGGGACCTGTGATTATGGCACAGGCTTTGTCAGCTTTTTCCCCATTTCCCTCATGCCTCTGATGTGACTGCCAGGAAGAGATGGAGTGAGGGGGCAGAGGAGCTTGTCTGTGCTTCTTGTGAGACTTGGAGCACTCTGCTGCACTGATGTGATACGACAGCTAGCCCAAGCCCATTAGCACTGCCTTAGAGACAAAGAAGCTCTCTGCATACCCAGGGAGATTTGCTGCGTCCTGTCCACAGCCAACTGCTTGAGCGAGCTTCCACCCTCTCCCTGATCCTTGCTGCTGGCCAGATGCCCTAAATCCACAGGGTTTAAAGAGGAGCAGTGTCCAGTGCTTGTGTGCTCTCCTCTCTCATGGCCGAAGCATTCAGCCTTAACCCCTCGCTTGTTCCCACGGTGTCTTCATCAGTGGCCTGCGCTGCACTCATCCTTCCTCCTCCTGCTGCCTGGGTGGGTGACTGTGCCCAGAGCATGTTTCCATGGGAACTCAACAGTCAAGAGATCAGAGATCTTCCTGGTTGCTGGACAGCATGGGAAATTGCCAATCAGAGGGTGAAAAACAAGAACTGGAGAGAAAGTGAAGGAAAAATGGCAGGAGGAGGGTGTGCTGTTACAAGTTGGGGAGAGAAGATCTTCCAGGGCTGTGGGAGTCCCAGCTGGGGAGCTGAAGGAGCCAACGACCCACAGCAGTGGCTTGAGGATGCCAGATGATTTGGGATCAACTGCTTTGAGAGTGGTGACAGCAGACACCAGGTGAAAGGGCTTGCAGGGTTTTGGCCCGGTTGTGGAGGGATGAGGCAGCTTGGTTATTGGTAGGGGAACGCCTCTGTTTGGAAGCTGCCCGAAGTGAGGGGATGCTAGATCGTGGGTTGGGCTCCAACACATGGAGAGGGAGAGAGGTCAGCAGCAGAGGAACCCTTTCACACGTCCCCGGTTGCTGCAAAGAGGCATCCTAGGGAGAAGAGTCTGGATCCTTTTCCTACATGCAGTCTTGGGAACTGGGCTGTATGAAATGAAAATAATGGTGAAAAAAAATCTTTCTCTTATGTTGTCAGTGACTTCACCTCCTAATATTGCTGTTTTGGGCATTCAGAAAAGATTCGAAACCAATAGGTGTGTTTCTTTGTATTTGCCTTTACAGCTCAAGTCCCTTTTCTTCATAGACAGGAAGACTGGCACTTTTTCTCTTCCAAATTCAGAAAAGAAAAACTGAAATTCCCACATAAACACAGGACTTCCAAAACGTTCTATTAGTGAGCCCTGTCAGACAACAGAAGACCTGCAGTAAAACTGCAAGAATGGAGACTAGCATCCACTGTTTCAATGGACCTTTCCCAAAGTGCAGGATAAAGAAAAATGCTTTTGATCTAACAGAAATGATATGAGGATGAAACCACAAGATTTATCCAGGACATTTCAATGCCCTCTGAAGGAGAAAACTAGTAACCCATAGTTTAATGCTGATTCGATTGCAAATTGACAAGGTTCCTTTTTGTTCAGTGCCTCGATTGCAAAGTTGTGGCCTCTTTCATCTATTAGACCGTTGCTTGGCAGAGACTTAAGCTTTGGGTGTCTGTGGTAACCATCAGGTCTTTGCACTGAAGTAGTCATCAGCCAAAACTGGAACCACTTATCTGACCCTCCACTGGTTACCAGCTATTCTTCCGCAAAAACCACACTTTACGCAAAAACAGATCCAGGAGCAAAAGGCCAACGTTACAAAAATAATGGTGCGTCTCTGTAGCTATATGTTCCCCCCCCCTAGAGTTCCAGCTCTTTAAATTTCTAATATGACTGACTTTGCCAGTTGTCTTGACACCCCTCTGCCACCCTAACCCAAACAGCCAGACAGCCTACTGGGGTCCCTAACAACCATCAAGTGCATTTCTGGCTGTTAAGTCTTAGTCCACAATCACGTGCTTGTTAGTTCAAAAACCAGGATTATTTTACAGCATCTAAAGTCAGTACAAATATTTCCCAGTGTGTTTCTCCCTTCATTGACGTCCTGCCGTGTTTGCAATCCGAAGGCTGCAGCACAGTGCACATATCTGAAATAAGGCACAGCTGCAGCTGCAATATAGATTCAGGGTAGAGGAAGGGGGAACACTGCGGAGCTCGTGTCCCCTCCCATAGCCAAACTGGAATCACAGATGGCACCAGGTGATATTGATGGGAGCACTGGAGCTACTTCTTCTTTAGTTTCCACTCTCCTCTCCACCTTCCAGTAAATATATTCCCGACCAGTCTCATTTTTTTTGCACTCCCCTTCCAGTCAGGTTTTTCACCTTCTCTGTGTGCTGTTTTTGTGGTTTGCCCACCAGCGTTTCTGAGCTGGCCCTTGGGTGGGGGCAGGTGCTGTCTCACTGCTGAGAAGGCAGCTGTACAGCACCTGGTTTATTAGCTCCTGCGCCTTGGCTGGGGATTATTGGGCATTGCCAGAGCACTAAATTTTGCATGGACCCCGTCAGCTAAAATAGAGTCTCCAAAATGCAACCATAGTCATGCAAGTGCAGGGAGAAATGTAAAAAGAATCACAAGGAAAATGGAAGGGGATGAAATTCCCACAGGTTTAGTTATCCAGGGATCATGAAAATGGGGAAGCTGGGAAATCTGGCCTTTAAAAAATACATGAGGCCATGTGTTTCAGCCACTTCGGTGATATAAATCAGGAGTATCTGTTTGGGACTGGGTAAGAGCCTTAGATGCAGCACTTTTAACCCTATATCTGTGGTGGATCAAAGTGACATCTGTGTTGCATGAACTTCTAGTGCCTGGTGGAGGGCTGTGCCTGCATGAGCTTGTGCTTGGGCTCTGTGGGGTGGTGCAGCCATACAAAGTGGCTCCTTGTGGTGCCTGCATGCTGGCAGAGTGCATCCGTCTGCCCATCCCTCTTGCTCACCAAGGAAGTTTGTTTCCGAAGGCACCTGCTGGGGCTGGGTCAATGTGCAAGCATGTTCCTGTGCATGCGTGAGCATATGTGCTCATTCATTAACGTTGTGCGTGTGCATCTGCTTTGCTGCAAGGGTCAATGGCACATCTAGATACTTCCTGCATGTGCTCCCAAGTGTCTCTGTACGTGGCAGAGCAGTGTCAGGGGAGGCAGCTTGCTTACTTACCTGGTTGGGAACCGTCCTCTGAGCCAAGGGGAGCAAGGAAGGGGCTGGAGGGGGCTTTGCCAGCAGAGTGAATGTGTAATGTGTCATCCCTTCCTGCCATACATACACACCACCACCCCTGCAGCCTGCTCTGCTGCTGTAGCTCCAAGACCTGTTGTTTTTCAGGTCACTGCACTCCCAAACAGATAGCAGCTTCCTTGCTATTTACCCTGACGTGCGTCACATTACATCGGTTTCGTTTGAAGCCAGCCCCTCTGATCCTGTCGCTAGCAATAAGGAATCCTCTCTCACTGCTCCTCCCAAGCCATATCCTGACACATTTGTTCCTATGGGTCACATCTCCCCATGCGTGTTTGGGGCAGTGGGGGAGGGTTAACTGCGTAGTTGGCACAACTGTCTCCTTGCAAAAATGGAGATTGGGCTGGCGTTTAGGCTGGGATTTTCATGTTATGCTACTTTAATAGCTGTTCACAGCAATCTGTGGAGGATGTTGCCCCAACCACTGCTGTGTTTGTGCTTGGCTGGATGGCATCAGGCTGTGTGATGGGCCCCTGTGTGCACTGATGGGAGTAGAGATGGGGAGAAAGCACTGTGCACCTTTCTTCCCACCTCCACACTTGGCCAGCCCAATGAATTCATAATCCTCGTTTCTCTTTTCTGATGGAGGAACCCAGAAGGATCTTGAGCTCAAAGTCCTGGATGTGTTGGCCGGCCTTCCAGCCCCCTGCCAGTGTGACACGGGTACAAAATGCCCTTGAAGAGGGGGTAATGGGGGCCATGGAGCTGTTTGTTGGCCCTCACACAGCTGTCTTGCATTTGGCTGATCCTGTGGTGAGGCAAATTGGGATCCAGAATGCCAGGGTTTATTCCAGGCCTTAGAGGACAGCTTAGTAGACATACTGGTTAGACTGGGCTAGGGAAGGGCAAATTGAAGCTAAGATTCTTGATTACATAGCAGCTGTGGAAAGAGGGATCTTGAAGAGAAGGAAAAGGAAATAGAAGCCAAGGGCCCTAGAATTTATTCACCCTGCCTGGGTCGGTCCGCCGTATTTCCTAAAGTACCTCTTGGACTTCACATTTTTTTTTGTTCAATAAGAGTGTAATTGCCCAAGCAGTTTTTCTTACTACCATTTGTGTTGGATTGTTCAAAGGAAAAGGCTAATGAATAGAAGGAAATTAGTAATCTTTTGCTTTCCTTTGGGAAGGGTAGGACAGAGGAAGCCGCGGAAACCTTTGCAGGTGTGAGGAGCTTGGGAGGACCCTGCATACTCACCACTGGAAGCATTTTAGCCAACTGCAAATCATTTCCATGCCAGGCATGTTTTCAACACTAGGCTGGTTTGTGCTTAAGTGTCCCTGTCCTTCTGCTTTGGACTGTAAGCCTCATAGAAGGTTGATGTTTCTGTGTTTGCCCCTAGGGGACAGGAAGCTCTTTGTGGGCATGTTAAATAAACAGCAGTCTGAGGATGACGTGCTCCGGCTCTTTGAACCATTTGGGGTCATTGATGAATGTACGGTGCTCCGTGGACCTGATGGTAACAGCAAAGGTGTGAACCCCTCTGTGTGTCGTGCCCTTTCTCCCTGCTCTTCAGGTAGTGCTCACCTGTCTAACCACCTGTGCCTCCTTTCCACTGGCACACTTAGTCCCCCACCCCATCTTTATGGGAACCCGTATCACAGCCAGGCATAGGGAGCACGGCAGGAAGAGTTGTCTGCTGCAAGGAAAGATTGGGGAAGATGGGCAGAGACTGAGGTGAAAGGAGGAGAAGCAGAGCCCGATGAGTAGCTGAGTTATCAGGATCACTAGTGAGCCTGTTGGCTAAGTCTGGGTCTGCAATTTGAAATGTTTGTACCCACAATTAGTGCACAGAGAATTTGGAGAAGAGGTAAACAGAGGCAAGGGTGGAGATGGTGACTTAATCTGTAGAGTATATCATTGAAGTGACAATTTGAGACCCTTGCTGTTTTTTTCCAGGATAGAGGACTTGGGATGAGTCATCCGTTTTGTTCTTTGCTTTCTTGGGGTGGCTTTCCTTTGCCCTGCCTGAGATCCAGCTGTTGTCTCTTACATGATGTTGCAAGGGGCACTTTCACAGCAGTCCTGTCACTGCAATCTCCTGTGCTCTTTCTGTCCCTTTCCAGGCTGTGCTTTTGTAAAGTTCTCATCTCACACAGAGGCTCAGGCAGCAATCCACGCGCTCCATGGCAGCCAGACAATGCCCGTGAGTATAAGGCCAGGGTACCTACCCTCCTCCTAATCCTCTTCCCATCACTCTGTTGCAGGGACCTCCCCTCACTCTCCAAAACCATGACAGGTTCAACTGCAGTTTCCAGCTCGTGTGGTTGGGGGTGTGTGTGAGGTGTGTGGGGTGTGTGCACATCTGTGCTCTTGTGTTTGGGAACCATCCTGTCCCCTGGGCTGGTATGTGTGTCTATGTCTGTCCAGACTACTAGTGACAGTACTTATAGCTATAAAGGCAAATAAAAGACAGCCAAGAACCAGGCCAGGAGCTGTCTTGGAGACAGCTACCTGTAGTAGTAGTAGTTCAAAACTGAGCAGGGTGCAAGCTAACAATTCAGCAACATGAGCAGTCAAGACTCCAGCATCTGAGCACACTCCCCACCTTCTCTTCTTTCGGCAGTAGAGGAGGCCTCTGGGACAGGCTGGGTGCGGATGGAAATGCCTTGTGCATTGTGTGGGGTTGTGTAACTGCAGCTGTGCCTTCTTGCCAAGTGGAGTTGCAGTTGTGATCTTATCTCTCACAATCTCTAACCTGGACTGGGGCACCCTGTGGGCAGGACAAGGCACTGCTGCAGCAGGAGTATTTCCAGCTGCCAGGAACTGCTCTGCCTATCCTGCCAAGCTCATGGTGGTGGAAAGATGGAGCTTGTGGCTGACAATGTCCTTGGTGTTCATGTGCGCACCCACTTGTGCATCTGTGCAAGGCTCAGCGTGTGAGGGGATGGGTGGGAGAGGGAAGGGTTGGATGTACAGACAGATGGGGAAGGGCACAGCCCAGGTTCCAGGCAGCTCCCGAGCACTTTCACACTGATATTTGCTCTTCTGCTCCTGTTCCCACTCCTTTCTGCTGCCTATTCTGCCCCATCCTACCTTGCCTGACTGCTGCCTCTCTGGCTGTCCCACCGGCTCTTCTTCCCCTGCCTTCTCTCTCTGTCTCCTCTCTCTGTGCCTAGGGCGCTTCCTCCAGTCTAGTGGTGAAGTTTGCTGACACAGATAAAGAGAGGACCCTCCGTCGTATGCAGCAAATGGTGGGGCAGCTGGGGATATTCACTCCATCTCTCACCTTGCCGTTCAGCCCATACAGCGCCTATGCGCAGGCTGTGAGTATCATGCGTGGGGGCGGGGGAAGGCTGCCCTCTTGGCTATGGGGCAACACCATACCCGGGCTGCGAGACCGCAAACAGGTCTCTCTAACAAATACGTGGAAGCTTCTCAGCACCTGGGAGTTGTTCTGGCTTCAGTTTCTCCAGTCAGCAGCCTAGTCTTTGTGCATGTCTCTCCTGGAAGGGGTGACAGGAGAGAGCTGGGAAAAGTGAGGCTGGATTTCTCTGATGTGGCGTAGACTGGCGGAGGTGTCTGGGAACAGGTCAAGCATAACCCAGTGTCTTTCTGTCTTCTTTTGAGGACAGCTCAGAGCCATGACAGTCTACCAGAGACATGGCAGTGTACCAACCTATAAACTCTTCCTCTGGGTCTGTGGCACAAATGTGCATCTCTCTCTCTTTTCGGAGCACCATGAAAGCCCTGGTCTCAGATTCATGTGTTTGGTTCTCTGCTGAAATTCTCAGGAGGGCCCTAATTCCCCCAGTGCTGTCCTTGACTCCCAGGGTTTTTTCTCTTGGCTCGTGTGACTGTGGGGTTTGCAGGATGCTGGAGAGGGAGCAGTGGGTAGCAGAGGGTCAGAGGTGTTTCAGCAGTCTGGCCTTATCTGGTAAGACTGGCTCTGCTTTGGATCTAAGTCAGAGAACCTGGTGGCCTTGGAGCTATGGTGATGATTGCCACTGATGTTTGAGGTAGGTCCCAAACTCAACAAGTCCCTGATCAGCTGAGATTGACCATCTTTTGGGTCTTCTTGGTGACTTTCACTTTCACGTCTCTGCTGACAAGTATAAAGCCCATGGAGGGAGGCTCAGAAATTGCTCGAGGCATGAGAGATGCGTGTGTCAAACAAAGAACTCAAAAGTATATACTGTTACTGAAAGTAATTTTCCAGGGGGAAGTGCAAATAAATCTGTTCTTCTCATATATGTGGACACTTCTTTCACCTCTGTCTTCAGTGGCTACTTGGTGTGTCTCTCTTCCATCTACATGACAGAGGAGGAACTGTTTCTTTATTGTTGGCCATTGCCACTCAAAGAATCCCCAGAAACTGCCAAATGCCATTTAAGTGTGTGGCAAGAGCATGAAGTAGCAAAAGAAGAGAGGCAATACACATGATGCTCCATACCATTGGGGAATTTTGGGAACCAATTGCAGAATTTGTCAACACAGATTGTTTGATTCTTCTTGTGTAATGAGGCTGAGAACAGCTATACCATTCTGAGCACCAAGGCTTCCAGCAGAAGAATGGTTTAGAGGGGAGAAGCCTTTCTGATCAGACACCAGTATCTCTCGCCAGGACCAATCTTTTCTATCCAGCCCTGTATGTAATCCACAAGCCAGCTATACCTGAGGTCTAAGGTTGCAGTTTAGCTCAGCTGTGAGTCAGCTATGAGATGATCATTCTGGTGTATCTTCTGCTGTCATGGAGATGGTGCTGACTTGAGCACAGTATGATGGTGAAAGAGGCAGGAACGGACCACAAGGTGAAGTTACAATGGCAGAATACTTTTTTAGCTTATTGTCCAGGATGTGTAAGGAAGGAGAGCAGTGAGCCCTTCTAGACTTGGTCTTTAAGTGCTCTCCCATCTTCAGAAACTCCTGCTGATGACAAGAAGCCAGTCAGGCTGTGCTCCTTGCTTATCTGCATCTTCTTTCTCCTCAATCGTGTCTGTAAGTTTGTTGCTTTGTCTCTGATTCTTCACTGGCCTCCCTGCTCTGTGACTTTATTTTGGCTTTCCCCTTGACTCAAGACTCAGTCTGTCTCCCACTCTTTCAGTTTTTTTCTTTGTTTTCCTTTTGCTTTCCACTAGTTTTGGTTCTCTCTCCTTTCTGACCTTGCACCTGATTGTTTCTTCTCTTGTGTCATCCCAGTCTTTGTTCTCCCTTCTTCCAGAGGAGAGATCCTAGCCAGTTCTCGTATGCATACAGTGTCTCCATCAGAGGGAGAGAGTGTCAACCCTTTGAAATGCCATCTAGTATCTCTGGAAGTGGAGAGGGATTTCCTTGCTGAATCTCCTTACAGTACCTCCAAATATCCTGCCATGGGCAGCTCTTGGGAGCTGGGACCTCTGGTAAGCCAGGGCTCATGGGAACTCCAGCATAGTTTATACTTGCAAGGTGCAGGGCTTGGAGTAGTAGATGCTGCACCCAAGGTTACTCACAGGCCCAGGAAATACAGCTAACAATTATGTATGTGGTTGAATCAGACTGAGAGGAGTAAGAGCTGCTGGGTTGAACAGGGGCATCATAGGTGTTGGTTCTTACATTCACAATTTAATACGCCAACAACTTCCTCTCCCTGTCCCTATGGGATTTGCTGCCTCAGCAAGCCAAAGCAGTCTCCAGAGTCCCTGGCCTAGGAAGAAGTTGCTTGGAGCCTGGATTGTTTGGGTTTTGTATTTTTTTCAGTTGGATGTTTTAAATTTATATTAATTGCATTTTCCTTTAAAAACTATCTCAAATTAAACGTGAAATAATCACAAACTATGTTAGGCTTAAAGTTATTCTGATCTATTCAAATATACAAAATAAGATATTAAAACTAGTCCAACAGTACATGTTAGCTGATACAGTTTGTAAGAAAAATTCTTATACTTATCTGGGAAATATGACTGGCTGAGTATCTGGAAACAGGTTATTTCAGTGCTTAAGCCAGGTTTTGATCCCAGGTGCCTCTTCTGCAAGTGAAAAGTGAGCATTTCCTTCATTTCAGTTTATTCAACAAGTTGATTTCAGTGATTAGTTCGGACAGAATCAGGGAACTGATTGGGAGCTGAAAAAATAATTATCAATACAAAAGAGGCCTGAAGTCTTAAAAAGCAGCCAGTGCAATTTACTAACTGATTATAATGCTTGAATACGTCTTATATTTCATACATCAGTTCTAAACACAAGACGTAGTTTGTTCACACCCCCTCCCTTTCTGCTCTTATGGTTCATTATAGTAATTTTATTTTAACTAACAAAAACAATTTCAGAATGCTAGTTTGGTGCATGTGCAATGGGATGCAGGTCTTGTTCTAGCCAGAGCCTGGCATAGAACAGGCATTAATGAGAAAAAGGAAAATCAGTCGTCATCTAGTAAATAAGAAATACATTGATGCCTGCATCCTTAAACGGGGACTGTGTGAAGATAGAACTAGAACACATGCAGACTGCTTGCCATAGGGACCCCTTCCTTAGCAGAGTTTTCTGCTCTCAGGAAGGCCACATATTGCTGTAATCCTGGCTCAGGGTGAGTAATGTGAGTGAGTCCTGCTTCAGTGGAATCGCTCCAAAGACAATGTGGCAGCAAATAGATGAGATGATTTTAGGGCATTTGCTTTCTGGAGTCAAAGGGTAGTGAAGCCCTTTGCTACCAGTCAGTCCTGCCTGTCCGCAGAGACCCGGCTCTGTGGTGTGCCTGAGAGTGTCCCACCTCTGCCCCAAACAGGAGGCCTCCCTTGTCCCAGCACTGCCCCACAGTCAGTTCCACCCCAGCTGCTTTGCTTGTGCCAGCTTACAGAAACAGCAATGCCATGAAATTAGGCAATTCCTCTTCTTTTTACACAACGGAACTAATCAGCTTCTGTGTGGAGGAAACTAAGAGAAGGTTTATCTAGCCATGAACTTTTCAGTTATCGGATTCTTCAGCTGAGGGCTGGGCCAAACTGGCTCCTGACTCAGCCATTTGTGGATGAGGCAGGTCACTTGAGTGGTGTGTATTTATGTTTCAGAGCAGACAGGGGGATATGGTTGTAGTTAATGTAAAGAGGATTTGTGTTTTTCTTGTTTTTTGCCATCTGCCACTCCCCAGTTCCTCCTCTGGAATCGTACAGTTTCCAGAGGGCCGTGCCTGTGCCTCCTCTGCTCTTCTTGCTTGATGGTGAAGACAAGGTTTATAAAGGGGCTAAATAATTTTACATCCAGAACTAAGTCTTTGTTGCCTTTGCATTCTGAATGCAGTCTGATTTAATCTTATGCTTCAGAGCACCAACTGATGGCCAAATAGGACTAGAAGGATTTTTTTTCTTCTTCCTCTTAACCCTTCTCCCAACCTTGTGTCCCACCCTTCCCACCTCTCCACTCCTCCTTTTTCCATTGTGCATCTGCGCCTGGTCAGGTGTGTTACAGGTGCCATCCTCCAGCCTCAGGGTGCAGGCCACTGCTGGAGGAAAGTGTGCGCTCAGTGGGTCATGGGGTGGACCTCCAACAGCACAGTGTCCGAGCTGGGCCTGGGTGGACACCTGGTTGTGCAGAGGGTGCACGTACCCCAGCGAGCTCCACACCTCTCCCAGCAGCACGGGCTCCTTGTTGAGGCTGGGCAAAAGGAGAGGGGTTCGGACCCCATTCCTCAAGGCAAAGCGGTGCTATTTAGTAACTCGCACTGTCCCGGGAGAAGCGGCAGCGCTCAAAGAAGGGGCTGTGGCTGGAGGAAACGCCGTTGCTGCGCC